GAGGATGTGAAAAGGTCCTTACCCCCGTAATTATCCAAGAAAAGCAAGTTAAATCCAAAATTAAAACTATGCACTCACCAGGATGACTACAATTTAAAAGTTAGATATTTCTAAGTGATAGTGTATGGAACATTGAGAATTCTTTTACATTCATGGTTAGAGTAAAAATTGGGGGCAATCCAGTGAAAAACTATTCATAAATGTATGAAGTGAAATGTTCTACTGTACCCAAAGACTTGAATGAATCTAAAAACATCAGGTTGAGCAAAAGAAGTCAAATAGAAAATAAAACATCCTGTATAATTCAACTTATATAAAAGCTAACCCTCCTATAGTCTCCCTATGGAAGTAAATAATAACTATTTTAACTCATCCTTGATTTTTATTTTTCTCTCCAGCCTTAAACTCAATCCAACAAGTCCTGTCATCTCTAAATTTGAATACATCTAGAACCAGGCAAAATCTCACCATTTCTAGCCCAAGTCGCTATCACCACTCATCTGGAATTTTAGACTTCTAACTCAATGATCACGTTCACTTTGCCCTGCTAAACTCAGGCCAGGCCTAGTAATATTCACTTAAAAAATTAACTGGAAAAATCACATACATAAAGAGTAGCAATCAAATTATACATTTAAATTAGATTATTTCCAAAAAGAAAATGCATGCTTGTACTATCATGTAAGTCAAAGAATAGATTTTTAGCACCTTGTAATTACAACTTCCTCTCTCCCCCGACAAGAAAACTGTGGTAGACAGCTTATGACACAGCCCCGGATGATCCTAGTATCATTCCACTTCCTTGTATTCACGCCCTTGTGCAATCCTCTCCCCTATGAGTGTGGCCAGAAGCGAATCACTTCTAAGAATATGACAAAAATTATGAGATTTTGCTTCCGTAACTAGGCTATAAAAGACCGATTTCTCCCTCTCCCTCTCCCTCCCCCTCCCCCTCCCCTCCCCCCTACCCCTAACCCTAACCCTAACCCTAACCCTAACCCTAACCCTAACCCTAACCCTAACCCTAACCCTAACCCTAACCCTAACCCTAACCCTAACCCTAACCCTAACCCTAACCCTAACCCTAACCCTAACCCTAACCCTAACCCTAACCCTAACCCTAACCCTAANACTATTTACAATAGCCAAGAAATGGAAGCAACCTAAGTGTCCATCAGTAGATGAATGGATAAAGAAGAGGTGGTACATATACACAATGGAATATCATTCAGCCATAAGAAGAAAACAAATCCTACCATTTGCAACAACATGGATGGAGCTAGAGGGTATTATGCTCAGTGAAATAAGCCAGGCGGAGAAAGACAAGTATTAAATTATTTCACTCACCTGTGGATTATAAGAACAAAGCAAAAACTGAAGGAGCAAAACAGCAGCAGACTCACAGAACCCAAGAATGGACTAACAGTTACCAAAGGGAAAGGGATTGGGGAGTATGGGTGGGAAGGGACAGATAAGAGGGAAAAGGAGGCATTACAATTAGTACGTATAATGTAGGTGGGGGACAGGGTGAAGGCAGTATAACACAGAGAAGACAAGTAGTGATTCTATAGCATCTTACTATGCTGACGGAGAGTGACTCTAATGGGGTATGTAGTGGGGACTTGATAATGGGAGGAGTCTAGTAACCATAATGTTCTTCATGTAATTGTACATTAATGATAGCAAAATTTAAAAAAAGAAAAAGTGATAAACCTAACTTAGAAGGTGAAAGACTATAAGACACTAATCTGAAGACTATAAGACACTAATGAAAGCAACTGAAGAAGACACAGATTAGACAGCCCAGATATAAACCCACACATACATGGTCAATTAATATATGACAAAAGATACATGAATATACAATGAGAAAAACAGTCTCTTCAATAAATAGTGTTGGAAAAACTGGACAGCTCCATGAAAGAGAATGAAATTGGATTACTGTCCAACCCCATAAACAAAAGTAAAGTAAATAGATTAAAGACTTAAATATAAGATGTGAAACCATAAAATCTTGGAAGAAAACATAGGCAAAATTTCTTGAACATAAGAATGAATAATATTTTTCTGTTTACTTCTCCCTGGGGAAGGGACACAAAAGCAAAAATAAACAAATGGGACTGCATCAAACTTAAAGGCTTCTGTACAGTCAAGGACACCATCAACAAAACAAAAAGGCAATCTACAGTGTGGGACAATATATTAGTAAGTGATATATCCAATAAGGGGTTAACATCCAAAATACATAAAGAACTCATATGCCTCAACACCAGAAAACAAACAACCTGATTTAAAAAATGGGCAGAGGACCTGAATAGACATTTTCCAAAGAAGACATACAGGTAGCCAACGGGCACATGAGAAGATGCTCCACATCATTAATTATCAGGGAAATGCAAATCAAAACCATAATGAGGTATAACCTCACACCAGTCAGACTGGCTACTATCCAAAAGACAATAAATAACAAAGGTTGGTGAGGATGTGGAGAAAAGGGAACCCAACTACACTGTTGGTGGGAATGTCAATTGGTGCAGCTACTGTGGAAAGCAGTATGGAAGCTCCTCAAAACACTAAAAATAGACATACCATTCAACCCAGTAATTCCACTTCTAGGAATTTACCTGAAGAAAACAAAATCCCTGATTCAAAAGACATATGCATTCCTGTTTATCACTGCATTATTTACAATTGCCAAGATATGGAAGCGACCTAAGTGTCCATCAATAGATGAATGGATAAAGAAGAGGTGGTACACACACACAATGGAATATTATTCAGCCATAAAAAAGGAAATCCTGCCATTTGCAACAACATGAATCTAGAGGGTATTACACGTTGTGAAATGAGCCAAGTGGAGAAAGACAAATACCATGTGATTTCACCTATTTGTGGAATATAAATACAAAGCAAAATGGAAGGAACAAAACAGCAGTAGACTCATAGACATTGAGACGGGACTGGTGGTTACCATGGGTTAGGGGTTGGGGCAGGTGGGTAAAATAGGTAAAGGGGATAAAGAGGCACAAAATCTCAATCATGATATAAATTAGTCACATGGATGGAAGTGCAGCTTAGAGAATATAGTCAATAGTTCTGTGACATCCCTCTATGTTGACAGATAGTAACTACACTAGTTGGGGTGAGGATTTAATAATGTATATAATTGTTGAATCACTATGTTGTATCATTGAACCCAATATAATATTGTATATCAACTGTATTTCAATAAAAAATATCAAAGAATGCAAAGTCACTATCTCAAAAAGATATATGCACTCCCAAGTTCACTGCAGCATTATTTATAATAGCCAAGACATGGAAAAAACCTGTGTCCACTGATGGATAAATGGTTAAAGAAAATGTGGGGTGTGTGTGTAATGGAATATTATTCATCCATGAAAATGAAGGAAAACCTACCATTTGTGATAACAGGAATTGACTTTGAGGGCATTATGCTTAGTGAAATAATTCAGACAGAGAAAGACAAATACTGTATGATCTTACTTATGTAGAATCAAAAAAAAAGAACTTATAGATACAAAGAACAGATTGGTAGTTTCCAGAAGCAGGGGGTGGAGGGATTGGGTGAAATGGGTAAAGGTGGTCAAAAGGCACAGACTTCCAGTTACAACATAAATAAATCCTGGGATGTAATGTTCAGCATGGTGACTATAGTAAACAATACTGTAGTGTATATTTGAAATTTGCTGAGAGAGTAGATCTTTAAAGTTTTCATCATAAGAAAAAAAGTTGCAACTGTATAATGATGGATATTAACTAAACCTATTGTGGTTATCATTTTGCAATATATACATATCAAATCATTATGTTGTACACCTAAAACTAATACAATATTATATGTCAATAATATCTCAATAGTAAAAACAAAAGAGTACTTCCTGTCATTAATGTCTGGGGTGGCTGATAGTTGTACATAGAGTTAAGTCATGAAGTTGTGGAAAATGTGCCAAACTATTAGACAGTAGTTTAAAATTGAGACAAATCAAATAAATATTTACATGTTTGGGAGGATGGGATTGTAGGGGAAGCAGTAGATTATCCTAACTAAAAGTTTTTCATAGAGATAATCATGTTTTTGTTCATTTCTTGCTTTTCTTTGAACACTGCCATATATAGTAGGTACTCAAAGAGCTTGGTTTGAATATTTGCCTGACTCATAAAAGATGTAGTTACAAAAACTTTGCCCCAGTAATGACTGATCATTTTTAAATTCTTTAATGTTTTTTAGCATATGATTTATCTCAGAAAGTTAATTTTTTTCACTGAAGTTATGCAGCAGTTTATGCTGTGTGTTCAACTCAAGGTTTATCAGAGAAAATTCTATTAAATCCCTAAATGTTAAACACAAAAGATGACCCTAATTGCTTAGGATGGCTGCTTCCTTAAATACAAACAAAAAACAAAACGGTGTATTTGCATAATTCAGACATACTTCGGGGTTATATTCACTGTGATTCAGCAAATTCCCTTCAGAACTAACTTGTTATTGAGCCTTCCTTGTGGTTTCAGTTTCCTGAAAAACACCTTCCAGTTTCGGTTTTTAACTTAATACTCTAAATCGCTGCCCTATGGAAGGAGGGGAGGTAAAACATCCCCAGGATTGGGTAAGGGAGAAGCATATCAGAAACCAATAAAAATAAAGAAGCAGAGTTAGAATTCTTAGCTGTTCTCACTGAAGCAGCTTTCTTATCAGCTGTCTTGCCAACAGGTTTCAGCCCTGGACAAGTTCACTATGGATTCAATGAGATGGAGGAATGACAATGGAATGTTTCTGCGGTGAAAGGGTTTATATCCAACTTTATTCCCACAGCCGCAGATCAGTCACCAGAATACCGTTCATTCAGAGCGAGTCTGCATGCAGCAAGCCGGTCTCTGCCTCCAGGACTCTCTGCCCCTGCAGCCGTCTCAGTCTCTGTCCTCGGCGCTGCCACCACTCCAGTCTCTGCTATCCTGGGGCCGTGCTGCCCAGAGCACTGGGAGGAACTCTTTATATAGAGTTAATAACAAAGTATTGCCCACACGTGTGCAGTGAGCAAGCCGACCAGGGCCAGGTGAGAATCTTTGCTATAGGAACCTTCACTTTCTCCACACCAGCTCTAAAAGATCTCTGCTACTGATTTATAGTAAAGGTAAGATTGGGGTAAGGGCAGAAAAGATTTACAAAGGTCAGTCTGTTTTAAAAGCATTCTTTCCAGGATAGAATGTGGCTGAACCGGATATGGAATATTAGCCCTCATTAAAGACTAAGTTCTGATGTATCACACAGGCAACAGATACATTTTCTTACTGCTGAACTAGATAAAGCATGTGTGGGGACTGAACTGAGAATCTAAACTATATTAACAGTTTTTCTTCCTTTGCCACTTTATGATTTATGGGGCTCATAATTGCCACTTACTCGCTTTTCTCTTGGGTAACACCTGATGAATTTAGTTCAAACTGCAGCCTGAAAGTTTAGAGAACTATGACTGTTACTTTCATGAAAAAGAGGAGTGAACAGTTTGCAGTGTAAACAGTTTGCTTACACTGTGAAGGACAAAAAACTTAAAACTTTGTAACCCAGAGTGGACAGCTGTAACAGTGAACGGCAGTTTCAGCTCCCACTGGATTCAGCCAATAAATCAAAAGACAGAGGGTCCAGTAGAGAAAGAGCTTCGTTCAACAAAATCGGCAGGGCAGACTGGCAGATGGGAGGACTATTGTCATGAAGGCTCACTTTCACTCAGGGTTCTTTCAAGCTCCTTTTATGCTAGGGAAGGGGGAGGTGGAGGAGGAACAGAGGTGACAGATAATTGGACATCTGGACTTCAGTGAGGGTCCGAGGAGGGTCCTGAAGCTCCCACGGTCCCTGTCGGTTGACTCCCTGTCGGGACAGGTCTAGTCATGAGGTTTCTGCAAACTCTTAATAAGACAATTATTGTCTCATCTCGATAAAATAGACAGTGTTGCCCTATCCATCTGGTTATCTTTATCTTAGCTCCTGGTGGTCTGCAAGGTGCTAGAGACCAACTTTTAACTCCTTCAGGCCCACTTACACAATAAAGAGGTTTCATGTAAACAGCTCTATATTTTTAGTCATAGTCTTATACTTTGTTTGAAGATGGATTTTTCTCCTTTAGAAATAGCTCTGAATTAATTCACTTTGATTTCCCAGCACCGGCTTATTCTTTAAGGCCTTTTGTGTTAGATTCTGTTTCTCCTGTTCTATTGGCTTTGCTACTGCAAATCACTTAATCCAGCAGTTGCTCAGCCTGACCCTTCCACACTGGCAATTCTGTTTACTCCTTGGAACTCTCTCCTCCTTTGAACTTCTATTTTTTTTTAATTTTGGTATCACTGATCTACAATTACCTGAGGAACATTATGTTTACTAGACTCCTCCCATCACCAAGTCCCTGCCACATACCCCATTACAGTCACTATCCATCAGTGCAGTAAAATGCTATAGAATCACTACTTGTCTTCTCTGTGTTGTACAGCTCTCCCTGTGCCCCGCCCCTCACATTACACATGCTAATCATAATGCCCCCTTTCTTCACCCCCCCTTATCTCTCCCTTCCACCCATCCTCCCCAGTCCCTTTCCCTTTGGAAACTGTTAGTCCATTCTTGGGTTCTGTGAGTCTGCTGCTGTTTTGCTCCTTCAGTTTTTGCTTTGTTCTTATACTCCAGAGATGAGTGAAATCATTTTATACTTGTCTTTCTCCGCCTGGCTTATTTCACTGAGCATAATACCCTCTAGCTCCATCCATGTTGT